ATTCTGGCCGGGGAGGATCGACTAGGCACCAATCCTTAACTGTACGCCTCTGTTCACCCAGCAGTGAATGGAGTACCTGGGGCCAGATTCACGAAACAGTTACGCAAGTACTTACGAACGTGTACATCTTTTCTCAATATTTGACGGCTTTGGTTACATTTATTTAATAATTTACGAGCAGGAAAACTTGCCAATCAACTGTTGTTATTGTTATAAACAGCCTCCTGGTGCTTCGGAGCTCATTAACTGTTTAATAATAGTAAACAAAGCCGTCAAAGATGTACAGGTTCGTAAGTGCTTGCGTAACTGCTTCGTGAATCAGGCCCCTGGAGTGTTAAATGATTTGGCGGGTCGTATTCCAGGAAAGATTACGGACTTGCCCGAAACGCTATGCGTGCTAGTGGCGTTACACGAATATAAGAACTCGCGTATATATTAATAAAATAAAGTATTCATCCGGATGACCCCACCAGCATAAGCTTATTCTTAGGGACTAGACAACAGGGGTGTGGCGGCGTCACATGGGGTGGTGTGGCGGCGTCACATGGGGTGGTGTGGCGGCGTCACATGGGGTGGTGTGGCGGCGTCACATGGGGTGGTGTGGCGGCGTCACATGGGGTGGTGTGGCGGCGTCACATGGGGTGGTGTGGCGGCGTCACATGGGGTGGGGGTGTGGTGGGGGTGTGGCGGCGTCACATGGGGTGGTGTGGCGGCGTCACATGGGGTGGGGGTGTGGCGGCGTCACATGGGGTGGGGGTGTGGCGGCGTCACATGGGGTGGGGGTGTGGCGGCGTCACATGGGGTGGGGGTGTGGCGGCGTCACATGGGGTGGGGGTGTGGCGGCGTCACATGGGGTGGGGGTGTGGCGGCGTCACATGGGGTGGGGGTGTGGCGGCGTCACATGGGGTGGGGGTGTGGCGGCGTCACATGGGGTGGGGGTGTGGCGGCGTCACATGGGGTGGGGGTGTGGCGGCGTCACATGGGGTGGGGGGGTGTGGCGGCGTCACATGGGGTGGGGGTGTGGCGGCGTCACATGGGGTGGGGGTGTGGCGGCGTCACATGGGGTGGGGGTGTGGCGGCGTCACATGGGGTGGGGGTGTGGCGGCGTCACATGGGGTGGGGGTGTGGCGGCGTCACATGGGGTGGGGGTGTGGCGGCGTCACATGGGGTGGGGGTGTGGCGGCGTCACATGGGGTGGTGGGGGTGTGGCGGCGTCACATGGGGTGGTGGGGGTGTGGCGGCGTCACATGGGGTGGTGGGGGTGTGGCGGCGTCACATGGGGTGGTGGGGGTGTGGCGGCGTCACATGGGGTGGTGGGGGTGTGGCGGCGTCACATGGGGTGGTGGGGGTGTGGCGGCGTCACATGGGGTGGTGGGGGTGTGGCGGCGTCACATGGGGTGGTGGGGGTGTGGCGGCGTCACATGGGGTGGTGGGGGTGTGGCGGCGTCACATGGGGTGGTGGGGGTGTGGCGGCGTCACATGGGGTGGTGGGGGTGTGGCGGCGTCACATGGGGTGGTGGGGGTGTGGCGGCGTCACATGGGGTGGTGGGGGTGTGGCGGCGTCACATGGGGTGGTGGGGGTGTGGCGGCGTCACATGGGGTGGTGGGGGTGTGGCGGCGTCACATGGGGTGGTGGGGGTGTGGCGGCGTCACATGGGGTGGTGGGGGTGTGGCGGCGTCACATGGGGTGGTGGGGGTGTGGCGGCGTCACATGGGGTGGTGGGGGTGTGGCGGCGTCACATGGGGTGGTGGGGGTGTGGCGGCGTCACATGGGGTGGTGGGGGTGTGGCGGCGTCACATGGGGTGGTGGGGGTGTGGCGGCGTCACATGGGGTGGTGGGGGTGTGGCGGCGTCACATGGGGTGGTGGGGGTGTGGCGGCGTCACATGGGGTGGTGGGGGTGTGGCGGCGTCACATGGGGTGGTGGGGGTGTGGCGGCGTCACATGGGGTGGTGGGGGTGTGGCGGCGTCACATGGGGTGGTGGGGGTGTGGCGGCGTCACATGGGGTGGTGTGTGTGTGGCGGCGTCACATGGGGTGGTGTGTGTGTGGCGGCGTCACATGGGGTGGTGTGTGTGTGGCGGCGTCACATGGGGTGGTGTGTGTGTGGCGGCGTCACATGGGGTGGTGTGTGTGTGGCGGCGTCACATGGGGTGGTGTGTGTGTGGCGGCGTCACATGGGGTGGTGTGTGTGTGGCGGCGTCACATGGGGTGGTGTGTGTGTGGCGGCGTCACATGGGGTGGTGTGTGTGTGGCGGCGTCACATGGGGTGGTGTGTGTGTGGCGGCGTCACATGGGGTGGTGTGTGTGTGGCGGCGTCACATGGGGTGGTGTGTGTGTGGCGGCGTCACATGGGGTGGTGTGTGTGTGGCGGCGTCACATGGGGTGGTGTGTGTGTGGCGGCGTCACATGGGGTGGTGTGTGTGTGGCGGCGTCACATGGGGTGGTGTGTGTGTGGCGGCGTCACATGGGGTGGTGTGTGTGTGGCGGCGTCACATGGGGTGGTGTGTGTGTGGCGGCGTCACATGGGGTGGTGTGTGTGTGGCGGCGTCACATGGGGTGGTGTGTGTGTGGCGGCGTCACATGGGGTGGTGTGTGTGTGGCGGCGTCACATGGGGTGGTGTGTGTGTGGCGGCGTCACATGGGGTGGTGTGTGTGTGGCGGCGTCACATGGGGTGGTGTGTGTGTGGCGGCGTCACATGGGGTGGTGTGTGTGTGGCGGCGTCACATGGGGTGGTGTGTGTGTGGCGGCGTCACATGGGGTGGTGTGTGTGTGGCGGCGTCACATGGGGTGGTGTGTGTGTGGCGGCGTCACATGGGGTGGTGTGTGTGTGGCGGCGTCACATGGGGTGGTGTGTGGCGGCGTCACATGGGGTGGTGTGTGTGTGGCGGCGTCACATGGGGTGGTGTGTGTGTGGCGGCGTCACATGGGGTGGTGTGTGTGTGGCGGCGTCACATGGGGTGGTGTGTGTGTGGCGGCGTCACATGGGGTGGTGTGTGTGTGGCGGCGTCACATGGGGTGGTGTGTGTGTGGCGGCGTCACATGGGGTGGTGTGTGTGTGGCGGCGTCACATGGGGTGGTGTGTGTGTGGCGGCGTCACATGGGGTGGTGTGTGTGTGGCGGCGTCACATGGGGTGGTGTGTGTGTGGCGGCGTCACATGGGGTGGTGTGTGTGTGGCGGCGTCACATGGGGTGGTGTGTGTGTGGCGGCGTCACATGGGGGTGGTGTGTGTGGCGGCGTCACATGGGGTGGTGTGTGTGTGGCGGCGTCACATGGGGTGGTGTGTGTGTGGCGGCGTCACATGGGGTGGTGTGTGTGTGGCGGCGTCACATGGGGTGGTGTGTGTGTGGCGGCGTCACATGGGGTGGTGTGTGTGTGGCGGCGTCACATGGGGTGGTGTGTGTGTGGCGGCGTCACATGGGGTGGTGTGTGTGTGGCGGCGTCACATGGGGTGGTGTGTGTGTGGCGGCGTCACATGGGGTGGTGTGTGTGTGGCGGCGTCACATGGGGTGGTGTGTGTGTGGCGGCGTCACATGGGGTGGTGTGTGTGTGGCGGCGTCACATGGGGTGGTGTGTGTGGCGGCGTCACATGGGGTGGTGTGTGTGGCGGCGTCACATGGGGTGGTGTGTGTGGCGGCGTCACGACCCTCGTACTCTCTTTCCACCCCATGCTAGGGTTTGTTGTTGCTGTTTTAGAGTCAGCTACTCTGAACAAAAGTTCCAAGTAGCACGGGCTATGGTGAGCCCGTAGTGGCCTTGCTAGGGAGTTATCAAAGCGGCAGATATCCCTGTCAGGCTTAGTATTTTGCCCCCCATATGTGGCTCGCCCGTCATGGCACAAGTTGCCTCAAGGGAGAAAACTATAGCCTAACGTTGCAGCAATTTTGTCCTTGAATGGAGCATTTCTGTGCACTAAACGCTTGCATTCACCGCAGCAAACCACCACTGTCTTTACACACCTACTAAACGTGTATTTGTGAAAAGCTTGACAGATGCAATGACAACCGAACAGGAATCTTCGTTGTAACGAAGCTGTTCCACCTCCCTCTTGGTTATAGAACGTTGGGTTTCCACAGCCTCTTTGGACTTGCATAATTGTATTCTCCACAAAATTAAGTAATATTTCAAGACAATCGACTTGAGAATGGTCCAGGACGGACCGAAACGTCGTCGTCCCTTCACCTTCTAGTGTGTGGTCTGGTCAACATACTTTAGCCACGTTATTGTGACTCATCGCCTGCATAATATTTCAAGAAGATGGGTTGAAAAGCCTAAACACACTTAGGTATAACTATTCACACAATTATAATACAAGTTATTTTCATTTAAGCAAATACAGTATTTGATATACCTTAAAATCTATTAATGCGCCTTTGGGATCGTCTGCAGTTCTGAGGAACATAGCTGAGGTGTGTGTATTTGACCGCTAACTTAACTAAAACTGTCATCTTAACGTGTTTACAACTACAAACCCCAATGGATTACCCATTGTGTGTTTACATTCCCGTCACCAGACTGTCAACATCCTGCCCATCCTCCGGTTTAGGTAATACTTGTATTACCGAAGTGGACCATCCTACATATACTGACCATCCTACATATACTGACCATCCTACATATACTGACGTAGTGGACAATTAGAAAGCAGAATTTGTTACTACTGAATTTGGACAAACCGGGAAAGATTATGTATTTATGTTGCTAATAAAGCCTAACCTAACCATCCTGGGCCTAATACACGCTGAAGCCATATATAGTAAATATGCGCGCTATACTAGGCTTAGGAGGAATATTTAAATTTAGGTTGTAGCTTTATTTTTTCCATTCTCAAAGTCAGTAGTACCAAACTCTACTATCTAACTGTCCATTGCATCACTATATATACGATGGTTCACAGTTACAAAAAGTACTATCTAAACAGGATAGTTGTCACAACCACCACCAGGCCTACTAGGCGCTAGTATCACTTCAAATAACATAAAAAAGATGTTTTACGTTACCTATGGATGACTACAAACACATCACCTGAAAGAAAACAAAAGATTTTATAATTGGTTAATTTAATTAAAAACCAGTATATCACAAATGTAAAATTCTTCAGAGAGAAGAGTCTCGTACCCTATTTACCTAGTTCCCATATCCACTGTGATTAAGACCTGAATCAACAGAGTTTGGGAGAAACAGATACAGAATAGAAATAATTTTCATTGGAGAAGTAGAGAGAGTGCCTAAAAGGTTTTACATAACAGATGGAAGCTTCATTTAAAAGACATGTAAACACTGCACTTGGATGCGGATTACAGGTAACAACTATCAAAAAGAAATGTTCGAACAAGGCGGCTAAACGACTAGAGAAACGTGCTCAAATATACCCAGTTACGGGAAGGATATTATTTTGATTCAGGGACTGAAAACTGCTCCCTTGTGAGCCACTTATGGCTTGACTGTACACACAGACGGAGACCAGGCTTTTCGTTTTTTTTTTTAAATTTTGTTTATATAATTAAAAGGGTCGGTGTTAGGATATTAAATCCTAACACTAACATTTAAAAATCCTAACATTAATAAATCAATAAATAATGTTTGGAAACTAATCATAAATGCAGTTTTATGAAGATTTTTTTTGTAATTTGTGTAAATAAATCCTCCTATATTTATGAAGGAAGTTTTAAAGTTTAGTCTCAATCACTATACTACTGTAGTGATGACTAGGCTTATGACTACTACTATTCTAGAATTGTAATTAATAGGCCTACTGTTATTACTATTGATGTTGCTACTGTAATTAATAATATTATATTACAATACTGAACACATGTTCAGTTGAGCCAAATTTGTAACTATTTGTGTGTTATGAACACACACTCCTTCCTTTCCTCTCTTCTCGCCTTACCTTTTCCTTAATTTCCCTCCCTCCTTTTCCTTCTCTTTCCCTCGGCAAAAAGCAGTTTATAATTTCTCCGGGCCATGTAATCTCCCAATCTTGCTGTTATTTATGGAGCCGGGGGCTGGTAGCCTCAACCTTGACCCGTGGGAGAGTTCCTCTGGCCGCGGCCCACTTACACAGTCTGAATTCACTTGCCGTCAAGTCTAGTAGTCATTATCCGCAATCTAATTTACATATATGCCGTTATATCTAGCATATAGCCGCCGTCACATGGTATTTTAGTGAGATCTTTGAGCTTATCATATTGAATACAGGATATCTCACGCTAAAACATCTTAACATTGTAGAGTTTCATCCAAATATCGTGTTGGAAACTTTAGTCGTCCGTTTGAGTTTTACTTCAGGCAATCGTAGCCGTGTATCCTAGCGTCTCGGCTACCGTCAGTGGGGATCAGTTCCAGCTGCCGACAGAGGAAGACACAGCCAAGCGTGACAGACAACAGCCAGCCTAGCGTGACAGTGTGCAGCCAGACAGGAGTGACTTTTAGACGGAGGGGGCGGCCAGACAGATGAACATCATGGGGGACAGGTGGCGGTGAAAGTGACGGGGGTGCTTGCTGGGGGTCACGGTTCTGCCTCCTCGTCGCTTTGTGGTGATGCTCTTCCACCACCATTGTTCTCCTGGCCCACCACACTGTTTGTGTATCACATCTGCATGTCCCCCCATCCTCCTGCCCCCCCCCACTGGTACACCAATACTACCCAAGACTGCTACACCTGCACCCCCCCCCCCACACACACCAACAGTTATTAGGGTCTAAAACCTGCGCAGAATTTTCCCGCCAAACGTCATCGTCCCTTTAACCCTAACCTAACTCAAGTTACCAAAATTAAGAAAGTAAACTTGTTTTATATAGAGTGAACATAGGGTGTGTTGACAGTATGGGATCGAGGCTCCCTCCAAACCCCCTCTCGCCTTACCCTGATGGCCAGGGTCACGATTTATCACGAAACCTCTACATCTTTTTCCTCGATCATTGGTTGAGTTGTTGACATATATCAAGCCGTTTGAGAGCTTGGAAGCACAAAGCGGGTCTCGTTAACGGTGGTAATCATGGAAGGTGGTGCTTCGATGGCTAAACACTGTTTAATATGCGTAAACAACGCCGCCATGATTGAGGAAAGATGTACTGGTTTCGTAAGGGGGTTGCGTGATGAATTCTGGTCCAGGACGTCTGATATTTTGCTGTCAGTGATGAGTGATCAACACATGTAAGCGTACACGCACGCCCCACACCCCCCAACGTGTACACACACACACACACACACACACACACACACACACACACACACACACACACACACAGAGGAAGCAGCCCGTAGCAGCTGTCTAACTCCCAGGTACGTATGCAGGCGATGAGTCACAATAACGTGGCTGAAGTATGTTGACCAGACCACACACTAGAAGGTGAAGGGACGACGACGTTTCGGTCCGTCCTGGACCATTCTCAAGTCCATTGTGGTACATGTTTACTGCTACATGAACAAGGCATCAGGGTGAAAGGAACTCTGCCCATTTGTTTCCGCCTCCGCCGGGGATCGAATCCGGACCCTAATTACTACCCGAGCGCTGTCCACTCAGCCGTGTGTGTGTTTACTAGTTGTGTTTACTAGTTGTGTTTTTACGGGGGTTGAGCTTTGCTCTTTCGGCCCGCCTCTCAACTGTCAATCAACTGTTTTACTAACTACTTTTTTTTCCCCACACACCACACACACACACACACACCCCACACTGTGTGTGTGTGTGTGTGTGTGTGTGTGTACTCACCAAGTTTACTTGCGGGGGTTGAGCTCTGGCTCTTTAGTCCCGCCTCTCAACCGTCAATCAACTGGTGTACAGGTTCCTGAGCCTACTGGGCTCTATCATATCTACACTTGAAACTGTGTATAGTCAGCCTCCACCACGTCACTGCCTAATGCATTCCACCTGTTAACTACTGACCCTGAAAAAGTTCTTGTTATTGTCTAATATTTCTGACTCATTCAAGGTGAATAACAGGTGGAGTCTAACTGGTTCGTCATTGCCTCTCATTCTTGTGGGTTCCTTGACATGTTGGCTCAGAAAGTTCCTTGTTGCCACTTCCAAGAGTTTAGCTCTCCATGTAGGTCCCCATTCTCCCAGTCTATCTTTCCGTGTGTGTGTGTGTGTGTGTGTGTGTGTGTGTGTGTGTGTGTGTGTGTGTGTGTGTGTGTGTGAGAGAGAGAGAAATATATGTAGTAGATATAAGAGGAAAAATAGATTGGTTAGTAAGGCGGGGTTCGAGAGCTAATAGCTCGATTCTGCAGACATAGTAAATACAGTACATGTACACACGCACGTGAACTGGTCAAACCTAGTTTAAAACCAACTCTTGGTGATCGTTATAACAATCACCCCATACTTGGAGGGGTATGGCACGTGTGGGGGCACGTGGGGGGGGCACGTGCCCATGAATGACGGTGCCCGCACCCAGGCACCAACCAGCATCCTCCCAGCCCCTTGCATCACGTGCAGGTATTAGCCCTGGTCTTATTCCCAGGCATTACCCCTGGTTGAGTCTGGAGGCCTGGTCGACGACCGGGCCGCGGGGCCGCTGAGCCCCGAAATCACCTCATGGTAAGGCAAATCACCTCAAGGTAAGTCTTATTCACAGGGATTATCCCTGGTCTTAGTCCAATACAGATAAAGACTCCAAAGAGCCTCCACTTAGGGGCTCGCCATAGACCGTGCTGCTTGTCACTTTTGTTCTGAGTAGCTGAATCTAAAACAATAACAACAGGGTGTGATTCATACGACCGACTGCGAGCAGCCGCGTCTAACACCCTAGTGACCTAGTTGACCAACCAGGCCAGGCAAGAGACCGGGCCGTGGAGGTCATTGATCCCCAGAACCAGTGTACTACGGCAAACCGCGCCCACCACCACCCATTGTATACAACACACTCAATTCTTGGCAGGGTATACAGCTAGGGTCAGATTCACGAAACAGTTACGCAAGCACTTACGAACGTGTACATCTTTCCTCAATCTTTGACGGCTTTGGTTACATTTATTAAACAGTTTACAAGCATGAAAACTTGCCAATCAACTGTTGTTATTGTTATAAACAGCCTCCTGGTGCTTCCCAGCTCATAAACTGTTCAATAATTGTAAACAAAGCCGCCAAAGATTGAGAAAAGATGTACAGGTTCGTAAGTGCTTGTGTAACTGCCTTGTGAACCTGGCCTCTCGCCACCAAAGATCACACAAGCCGTGGGTCTTCTGCAAGGTTCAGATAGCCAGGACGGACGGAAAGACACGACACAGACAGACAGACGGACAGAGACAGACAGGAATATCAAGAGGAGAGAGGCGCGCCAGCAGTGTATTACCCGCTATTGCCAGTGTTTACGTCCGCCCCGGGCATTACCAGCCTCGTGTCAACTCTTGGTGGTGGTGGTGGTGGTGGTGGGGAGCAGGCGGGGGTGTCATAAGGGGAAGGGGGCGGTGTTACGAGAGGGAGGGGGGACTGCTATAGTGGGGGATCTCTATACCCTCTATATATCTCTGCTTCAGGCGGTGACCCCAAGTGGCTGACCCCTGACAGACCCTACGTGGCTGACCCCTGACAGACCCTACGTGGCTGACCCCCTGACAGACCCCACGTGGCTGACCCCTGACAGACCCCACGTGGCTGACCCCTGACAGACCCCCCACGTGGCTGACCCCTGACAGACCCCACGTGGCTGACCCCTGACAGACCCCCCACGTGGCTGACCCCTGACAGACCCCCCACGTGGCTGACCCCTGACAGACCCCCCACGTGGCTGACCCCTGACAGACCCCCCACGTGGCTGACCCCTGACAGACCCCACGTGGCTGACCCCTGACAGACCCCCCACGTGGCTGACCCCTGACAGACCCCCCACGTGGCTGACCCCTGACAGACCCCCCACGTGGCTGACCCCTGACAGACCCCCCACGTGGCTGACCCCTGACAGACCCCCCACGTGGCTGACCCCTGACAGACCCCACGTGGCTGACCCCTGACAGACCCCACGTGGCTGACCCCTGACAGACCCCACGTGGCTGACCCCTGACAGACCCCCCACGTGGCTGA